TTTTTTTTTTTTTTTTTTTTTGAAATAAAAATAAAAATCCTATCTTTTTAATTTTAAAATGAGTAATTTGGTTTGTTGGTGCAGGAGTTACAAGAGATGGGTTGAGTAGGCATTTCTTCCACAGGCCATCAAAAGCCTACACCACAGGAACAAGAAAGCGAAGAAAAATCCAAACGGAATGCGACTTCCAAGGCGGCGGCGAAACACGGTGGCATAAGACCGGAAAAACACGACCGGTTATGGCCAGCGGCCGCCAAAAGGGCTGCAAGAAAATCCTCGTACTTTACACCAACTTCGGAAAAAATCGAAAACCCGAAAAAACCAACTGGGTCATGCACCAATACCATTTGGGCCAACACGAGGAGGAGAAAGAAGGCGAGCTTGTCGTTTCTAAGATATTTTATCAGACACAGCCACGTCAGTGTAACTGGTCGTCGGCCGAGAAGGGCAGCGGCGCCGGCGGTATCGGAGAGGTTACTGGCGACAATGTTGTTCTTAGTAGTAGGAGGGAGAGTGGGAGCGGGAGTTGTTCGTCTTCTCGGGAAATGACGACCCCGAGAGACGAAATGTCTCCCGTGGGCGGCGGAGGCGGCAGTGGCGGTCTTTGTCCTCCGCCACATATCGCCGTCACTTACGGCGGATTGGATCACATTCAACAATTCAAAGCCGACCATTTTGGGTTTGGTTCCTTCAGGAGAAACTTCGATGAGGTTCGTGTAATTTTTGATTCCATGCAATGAAGGGAATAGTCCATTTTTTGTAATTCTTTGTAGTCTAGGGGTGTAAATGCAATTTAGAAAGATATATTTATGATTTAATCAATCATAATTTAAAATTAGGTTTTTTGTCATACCTCATTTTGCTTGCATTTGCAGCATAATTTCATGGGCCTAATTAGAGATTTAGGGAACATTGTTATAGTAATTTAATTAGTTTGTTCTATATCTTCCACAGGTTGGCATTGGAGAAGCTTCAACGACGAGAGAATCCGCTCCGACCGAGGACATCGGAGACCACCACCGTCACCACCACCTTCAACGGCAACATCACCATCCAATGGCGACAACTGCATTTCAAATCACCCGACCTTCAAACCCAATCTCGACAATCATCTGCCCGCCTCCTCTCCACCATTCATCAATCATTCTCGACCACGACTCGTACCGTGTATCTCCATTGATACTGCAAAACGAAAGCTTTCAGGTAACTAATTTTGTTTTAGTGAAAGATTTAGCATATCGTACAAACTCTTTTCACTTTGGAATATTATAAGCTTTGAGAAAAGAAAGTTTTATTTAAAAAAAAAAAAAAAAAAAAAAAAGTCATTGAAGATGATGGGTTTTCTTTACAGCAACAGCAACAACATCATCATAAGCTAGGAGGGAGGTCTGCTTCTGGTTTGGAAGAACTCATAATGGGCTGCACTTCCTCTAATATCAAAGAAGTGAGTCAATTTTAAGTCTAAAATTTTAAATTTTGTGTCTAATAAATTTATAAATAGAGAACTTTCATAGATTATTAAGCTAAATTTTGAAAATTTAGGAACTAAATTCGGAAAGGAATATTTACGTAAAAGGGAGATGAATAAAAACAAGAAAAAGGAAAGAAATGGAAATTCTTTATTGGTATAATTTTGAATTAAAGAGTAAGGAAACAGTGATACTCTCCCTTCTTTATCCCTTTCTTTTATTATAGTTTTCTTCTCAGAATCAAAGTGTTAGTGTTTATTTTATGATATGGAAAAAGCAAAGCTCAAAATGATTCAGACAACAGAATATATTCTGCTTCATTTAATTTGGAATGAAACTTATTCTGCTTTTTCGCGTTCAAAATTTTTAATGCCATAAGTTTTGTATTGTATCGATACGAACAACACGAGAACGTGTAAGGGAAAGTAAACCCTAATATTTGTGCATGGTTTATGATGTTGTAGGAGTCAACCATGGGAAGCAACGCTCAAGAAGCAGCAGAATGGATGAAGTACTCACCTTTCTGGCCTGACCCTGACAACCCAAATCATCATTGATAGAACCAAAAAGGGACCAAAAAACAAAACACAAAACACAAAACACAAAACACAACACAAAACAAAACACCCAAGTTTCTTCTTCCTTGAAGAGACAGACAGACAGACAGACAGACAACATTATTACTTCTCTCTTCGATTTCTCCTTCGAAACAAAATAATCCCATTTCTTTGTCTTCTTTTTTATTAAACAAATTCCATGCTGGAAAAGAAAAGGGGGGAAAAAGAAAAAGAAGAAAAAAAAAAAAAAAGGGTGCAGCTTTGGAAGGAAAAGGGTGAATGAAAGCAAGAAAAATGTAGTCAGAGGCATCAAAATCATCACCGTTATCATTACAGTATCATCTTCTTCATCACTTATTCTTTCTTTAATTTTGATTGTTTTTTTTTTCTGTTTTTTTTTTGTTTTGAAATTCTTGTACAGTTCATGTTTTTATGTTTTATTTTTTTTGGAATTTACACAGAAATACACCAGAAATTGATAAGCGTTTCTATCCCATTGAGGTTGAGGTTCTATTATCATTGATTGTTTATGTTGTTAGGAAAGTTGATATGCAATTACAGGTAAAGATTGAATTTTTGTTTTTGTATGTATCTTCAACTTTATGAGCACTTTGGAGAAAATTAAGATGCTGCATGCTCCTACTACTAATTGCTATTGTATTACTTACTTTCATCCTTTTCAAAAGGGAACCAACTGTGTGGTTGTTTCTCTTTCAAAATCTTTATATTCCAATCATTCTCTTTCCCGCCCTCTCTACACTGTTGTCGTTTAATTTCTTAGGGCGGGCATGAGTTTGATGTCTTAAACTCCAAGGTTTAGAAAGCATATGTTAACGAACATGTTTGATATCCTAAGCTCGAGAAAACCATTTTTATGAGATCCCACATCGGTTGGAGAGGGGAATGAAGCATTCCTTATAAGGGTGTGAATACCTCTCTCTATTAGACGCGTTTTAAAACCGTGAGTTTGACGGTGATACATAACGAGACAAAACGGACAATATGGTCAAAACGGACAATATCTGCTAACGGTGGGCTTGGGCTGTGGTTACAAATGGTATCAGAGCTAGACATCCGACGGTGTGTCAGCGAGGACGCTGGGCCTCCAAGGGGGTGAATTATGGAGACCTCACATCGGTTGGAGAGGGTAACAAAACATTTCTTATAAGGGTGTGGAAACCTCTCTCTAGTAGAAGTGTTCTAATACCGTGAGTCTGACGGCTATACGTAATCTGCTAGCGGTGGGATTGGGTTGTTACAAATGGTATCAGAGCCAGACACCGAGCGATGTGCCAGCAAAGACGCTGGGTCCCCAAGGGAGGTGAATTGTGAAATCCCACCTCGGTTGGAGATGACAACGAAGCATTCCTTATAAGGGTGTGGAAATCTCTTCTGAGTAGATGCGTTTTAAAACTGTGAGATTGAAAGTAATACGTAACGGGCTAAAGCGGACAATATCTACTAGAACTAGCGGTGGACTTGAGCTATTACAAATGATATCATATAGCCAGTCACCGGTCGGAGTAGGGCTAGACCCTCTCCATAGTAGACGCGGTTTTATCTTAAAACCGTGAAGCTAACGACGATACATAACAGGCCGAAGTGGACCGTAATGTTATTGTGTAGACGAAAATTGTGTGGAAAAAGTGTTTTTTTAACCTTTTTTTACAGCTTACACATTATTGAAGTTTGTGGGAATAATGTGATTGTTATAATGTACATAGAAAGTAAATTAACTTTAGACATGTGAATGGGAAATCACTTATAGTGGCTCTCCATATCATAGAATGTGCTTTATATTTCCCCTTTTATTCTTTCTCATCCAACCATGACTCAGCCTTTAAAAGAGTTTATGTGTTTGAGGTGCACATTTATGTCTATATGCATGTTGGTAGGCCTCGATACGTCGTTTTTTTCGTTCGAGATATCGATTTTTTTTTCTTCTTATTGGAATTTTATTTGAGGATCTTTCTGTTTGTATAAGAATAGCATGGAGTTTCATACTTTATGTCAGCTAATTTCGTGTTTTTTGGTAGCTTAAGACACTCATTTTACTTCCTTTTTTACTTTATTCTATTCTAGATTCCAACTTTATTTCATTTTTGAAGGAATTCACATATAATTAGATATGATGCAGTGTATTTCTCTCTCTAAATTTGTGTGTATATATATATAGAGAGAGAGAGAGAGTAATTATGAATGAGAGAAGCTTTTGGATTTGAAAATGACATTACATAATGAGCTAATCATCTTCCAAATCTCTCTCTCTCCTTATAACTTCGGTTTACGGGACGATTATAAAGTTAGGTACATTGACGAGAGATTTGTATTTAGCTTAGTTTAACGCTAACACAGAGTGTTAAGAAGATAGAGTGAATCTACACGAGTTAGCTAACTTGATGGTTTTAAATATTCAGTTGTGAACTTGGGATTTGTTCAGAGTGTGAGTGATCATGGTAGATAGACGTCACGTTTTGAGCTTAACAATGTTATTTGATTGGCCTGTGAGATCTCATATAGGTTGTAAAGGGGAAAACCCGAATGGTACAATATCGGGTAGTAGTGGGCTTAGGTTGTTACAGGTCATTTCCTATCGTTTCCGTGCTGCTAGGGTTAGCAAAAGCCGGAACGAATATGGAGAGAAGAAGATCCTAGAGAGAGGATAGGTTTGGAAAGATGGTAAAGATATAATATTAGGGTTAGGGCTATCTTTTTGGTTTGCAGATTTGGTCCCAAAAAGAAGTTGCAGAAAGAATTATATTAGTGCAAAGAGGAATATCACAACATGGCCAAACTCAACCTTTTATTGGATTCTTCCATAGTGCCATAGACCCCTTTCCCTTTTTGCATTTATTTTTTTTAATCACCAATCATAATCTATTTATTCTCTATGTTTTTTTTTTTTTTTTTAAATTTCTTATAAGATATGAGAGATGTTAAATATATATATATATAGACAATACATCTTGTAAAGTACTTTACTTAGGCCCTAAGTATAATGGAGAGGTAGAACAGGTAGATCGAGTTTCAAAAATGGGACGCAGACGATCTTTATCTTTAAGTCTAAATTGAGTAGGATGTAAGTAATCCTCGTTTCTATCTTGAATCTCGTTTCTCATGGTTGTTTAAGGAAGTTGAGGTATGTTTGACGATATCATAACAAAATGCTTATATTTAATCTAAAACCATTCTCGGTAATTTTTTGGAAGCTCATAATTAAGGTATGGTATAATTTGGATTCTTTTTCGATGTCAAAGGACATCGAGAAATGTAAAAAATAAAAAATAAAAAAATAATTAAAAAAAAAGGAGTTGAGAAAGGTTTTTTTTTTTTTTTTTTTTTTTTTTTTTTTTTTTTTT